TAATAATAATAATCTTACAAATAATATCCTAATATTTTACAACAACACAGGTATTAGATGGTTTTAAGTAAGCTATAGAGTGCTGTGTAAATGTCAATCTGTTCTCTTAGTCTAGGCCAACAATAAATTTTGTCTGCCTTGAGTAAACACTGGAAAAACTGGCCTGGGCCAGTCTTTTGTTCACACCTGTTACCTGGAGGTTACCTGGAGGTAGGAACAGCTGACAGTGCTCTGCTAGTTGGTGTCCTCTCCACGAGAACTCCTGAGGAGGCTCTCCTTGCTTGTCATGATGGGCACCATGGCCATATTAAAGAAGGCTCAGCTTTAAGGAGGTTTTGAGGGTACCACTTACATGTCCCAATGTATACCTTGAGCAGCTATTTACCCTGACCACATGGATATTCTTGTGTGGCTGACTGAAGGGAAAGGGTGAAGTATAGCAGGTATAGGATGTGAGTGACTCATGCTTTGAGAGGCCATGCAGAGTTTGGGTAGATCCTAGGGAAGATAGCTCTGCAACATTAGCATTGTTGCTTCAGTGCCATGGAGGCCTCACATCTGAAAGTGAAAAGAGATATATTTTCAGGTAAACTTGGGTCTTGGCTAAAGTCTGCCCTGTCATCCCCTTGCTGGTGCAGGACTTGGAGCATATCAGTTCTGTGGCAGAGTAAGGCCAGCTCACTTTTCAGACTGCCTGCTTTTCATTAAGTTTGATCCAGTTCTGGTCATTTTTTGATGCTGCTGTGCTTGCCCTCCAGGCCAATCCCAACAGTGAAGAGATTTGGCTCGCGGCTGTGAAGCTGGAGTCTGAGAACAATGAGTACGAGCGTGCCCGGAGGCTGCTGGCCAAGGCACGGAGCAGCGCACCCACTGCCCGAGTGAGTGGTGGCTGGTGGGTGGGGGAGGGCTGGCAGGGTGCTGCCTAGCTCTTGCATCACATTGGGAAGAAATGAGATGAGAAGGATAGCTCAGGCTACAGCCTAGTCTTGTTACTGGACTTTAAAATGCATTCTTCATCCCCACCTTTTGTACACTTGAAAGAGCTGTGACAGCTTACAATGCACGTAAAATAGAGCAGGACAGATGTGTGGAAGATGGTCGTGACGTGAAGCATGTATTTCGAAGGTAGTTAGCATCCAGATAGGAGATGGAACAACCCCCTTGTGTGACAGTGCATGTCTGCTTTGTAGGTGTTCATGAAGTCTGTGAAGCTGGAATGGGTGCTGGGGAACATTGCTGCTGCCCAGGAGTTGTGTGAGGAGGCCCTGAAACACTATGAGGACTTCCCCAAACTGTGGATGATGAAGGGGCAGATTGAGGAGCAGGGGGAACTGATGGAGAAGGCCCGGGAGGCCTACAACCAGGGGGTGAGCCTCTATCAACATGTTTCAGGGAAGGGCTGGAGAGATGACTCAGCAGTTAAGAGCACTGGCTGCTCTTGAAGAGGACCTGGGTTCGGCTCCTAGCACCCATGTGGTAGCTAACAACTGCCTGTGACTCCAGTTCCAGGAGATCCAGTGCTCTCTTCTGTCCTTCCTCCATGGGCATTGCATGACACGGTGCCCTTACATACATGCAAGCAATACACTCATACACATAAAAAATAAATAGGGTCTGGAGAGATAGCTTAGTGGTTAAGAGCACTAACTGCTCTTGCAGAGGACCCAGGTTCAAATCCCAGTACCCACATGGTGACTAAGAACCGTCCTTAACTCCAATTCCAGGTGAATCCAACACCCTCTTCTGACCTCTCTGGCATTGCACAACATGGGTGCACTCACATACATGCAGGCAATACACTTGTACACATAAAATAAAAATAATAGCCGGGTGTGGTGGCACACGCCTTTAAGCCCAGCATGGAGGCAAGACAGGCGAATCTCTGTTGAGTTCAAGGCCAGCCTGGTCTGCATAGTGAGTTCCAGGACAGCTGGGGCTACAGGGAGACCGTCTCAAAAATACCAAAAAAAAAGCCAGGCGTGGTGGCACATGCCTGTAGTCCCAGTACTTGGGAGGCAGAGGCAGGCGGATCTCTATGAGTTCAAGGCCAGCCTGGTCTACATAGTGAGTTCCAGGACAGCTGGGGCTCCAGGGAGACCCTGCTTCAAAAAGACCAAAAAAAATTTTTTTAGATGTCTCAGAGAACTCAGCAGCCTGGCATTGGTCATTGTCCCACACCTCTAGAAGTGAGGGGCTAGTAGTTTACTCAGGACTAAACCTTGTCCCTGCACTGTGGGTCCTGTGTTTTCTCTTCTACAAAGCTGCACATCCTGTTTTGGGAATATGTGGGGTTTTGTACACTCAAAGGTGGTGTGATATGTACCCATTGTACGCATGTATATGCAGCATGGCTATACACACGAAGTGTACATATATGTGCATGGCACAGGTGCACATATGTATAGAGTTCTACAAACATCCTGTGTGCACATGTACATGACACAGCCATACACAGTAAAGTCCTGCACTTCTATGTACACGTGAATACAGCAGAGACATGTCTAAACCCCACATGCAGAGTGTGAAGAACATATCACAGCCCTGACATGCTCTTAGAAGCTGAGCATAACTATCACAGTCCTTTGTGGACACTCCCTGAGCTCCTCTCTCGTTCCATTTGTTGACCACAGCTGAAGAAGTGCCCCCACTCCACACCACTGTGGCTTTTGCTCTCCCGACTGGAAGAAAAGATTGGGCAACTGACCCGTGCTCGGGCCATTTTGGAGAAGTCTCGTCTGAAAAACCCAAAGAACCCTGGTCTGTGGTGAGTCGTTGGCTACTGGCTCAGCTCTCCCTTTAGAAGCTGTCTTTACTCAGCTCCTACCTCATTTCAGCCTAGACTTGTGAGAATACAATAGTAGATGGCAACTGCTATGAGGAGTCATAGTTCCTGCTTTGGGAGAGCTGGGCCTAGATGGGGAATTGACTTTTGGTGGAGGGCTCCAGGGTCAGGAAATGAAGTTGAGAAAGTAGGCTCTATAGAAGAGGTGACATGGGTGGGGCCTTTAGGGACATGAAGAAACTTGCCAGAGGGAACTGGGTGTGGTGGTGCATACCTGTAATCCCAGAACCTGGGAGGTTGAGGCAGGAGGATGATGAGTTAGAGGCCAACCTGGGCCACATAGTGAGTTCTAGGTGAAGGATACAGAGTTCAGCTCAGGGTTAGGCTGAGGTGAAAGAGAATACTGCTCAGGAGGAGCAGCTCTTGAGTGCCTCATGTTTTAATCCAATGTTTCTGGGCTTGTTTGGTATCTTTACATGCATCTGGATCATGTGGAGTTCTGAGGGCTTAGATGGGGCTGCAACCTTGATACCAGACTGTGGGGACCAATGCAGCCACATCTGGTAGATGAATTATTAGAGACTAGAATTCTAGTCATCGCTGTTAAGAGACAAGAGCCTTCCTGGGTTGACAAGATGATTCAGTGGGAAAAAGTGCTTGCTGAACTTGATCCCTGGAACCCACAGTGGAAGGAGAGGACCAGTTCCCAAAAGTTGTCCTCTGATCACCACATGTGCCACATACACAGCAATAATAATAAAATAATAATTTTAGAAACGCTTTTCTGACAAGGGTCTCTGACAGAGTACTGACTGGGCTATGCTGTGGTAGACGAGGCTGGGACTTCCTTAGGCCTGTCTTCCTAGGTTGGAGTCAGTGCGTCTGGAGTACCGTGCAGGGCTGAAGAACATTGCCAACACACTCATGGCCAAGGCTCTTCAGGAATGCCCCAATTCTGGTAAGGGATCCTGGCTCACTAGCATAGTGGAGAGGAAATCTTCTCTGGGGTGAAGTTGGCTTCTAGTGACACCATTAAGGCGTGACCTATTTGGAGCTGGAGAGATGGCTAAGCAGTTAAGAGTACTTACTGCTCTTCCAGAGAACCCGGGTTCAGTTCCCAGCACCTACATGGCAACTAACAACTGTCATTAACTCCACTTCCAGGGAATCTGATGCCCTCTTCTGGTCTCCATAGGCATTGCACAACACTTATTTGGAAAACAATCAATCATACACATAAAATAAAAACAAAATCTTTTTTTTTTTTTTAATTTTTTTTTTTGGTCTTTTTGAGACAGGGTCTCCCTGTAGCCCCAGCTGTCCTGGAACTCACTATGTAGACCAGGCTGGCCTTGAACTCATAGAGATCCGCCTGCCTCTGCCTCCCAAGTGCTGGGACTAAAGGCATGTGCCACCATGCCCAGCAAAATAAAATCTTTTTTTTTAAAAAGACATAACCTCTGTCTTTCATTTCAGTCTTAACTTCGCTGATTTTGGTTTCAAAGACTTCAGACTAAATCCCTGGTCTCATCATGGCAGAATCTGATTTGATATTCTGAAGCACCCCCATTTCTTTTTCTTTTTTTTTGCCAAGATTTAATCTTTATTATCTTACTTGTATGTAGTATATAAGAAATGTAGGACTACAGCGATGGCTCAGTGGTTAACAGCACTTCAGAGGACCTGAGTTTGGTTCCTAGCAACCACTTGACACTTCATAACTGCCATAACTCCAGCTCTAGGAGATCTGATGCGCATAATTAAAAATAAAATAAATCTTAATATTTTTATTTTATTGATTGATTGATTGATTGATTGGTCTTTTTGAGACAGGGTCTCCCTGTAGCCCCAGCTCTCCTGGAACTCACTGTGTAGACCAGTTGGCCTTGAACTCACAGAGATCCACCTGCCTCTGCCTCCCGAGTGCTGGAATTAAAGGCGTGCGCCACCATACCCGGCCCAATATTTTTAATTTTTATTTATATGTGTGAGTATATTGCCTGTATGTATGTAAGTGCACTTGTGTTGTGCAGTACCTGTGGAGGTCAGAAGAGGGTGTCAGATCCTCTAGAACTGGAATTACATTAGGGATGGTTGTTAGGCACAATGTGGGTGCAGGGCCTTGAACTTGGGCCCTTTGTAAGAGCAACCAGTGCTTTTAACCACTGAGCCATCTCTCCAGCCCCATTAAATCTTTAAAAAATGTATATACCACTTAAAGAAAATTGGAATTAAAAGGGGGAAATAAGAGATTGCCTCTAGCTGGGCATGGTGGCGCACACCTTTTATCCCAGCACTCAGGAGGCAGAGGCAGGTGGATCTCTGAGTTCAAGGCCAGCCTGTTCTACATAGTGAGTTCCAGGCCAGCTGGGACTACAGGGAGACAGTGTCTCAAAAAGACCAGGGGTTGCGGGGGGATGGGAGGCAGCGCTCTAAGCCTCTAAGCCCATTACTTAGGAATCCCTTCTTTTACTTGTTCATAGTATTTCTGTGTTATTGTACAGAATTAAGTTTTTTGAGACAGAGTCTTGCTATGTAGCCCTGGCTGGCCTTGAACTCACAAAGATTTGCCTACCTCTGCCTCCCAAGTGCTGGGATTAAAGGCATGAACCACCATGCCTGGTTCTTTTTTGGATTTATTTATTTAATTTTACTTTATTTATTATTTATTTATTTATTTTTGTGTCAGCCCCAGCTGACCTAGAACTCACAAAGATCCGCCTACCCCTGCTTCCCAAAATATTGGAATTAAAGGTGTGGGGCTGGAGAGATGGCTCAGTGGTTAAGAATACTGATTGTTCTTGCAGAAGACCCGGGGTTGAATCCCAGTACCCACATGGCAGCTAACAGCTGTCCATAACTCCAGTTCCAGGGGATCTGACAGCCTTTTCTGACCTCCGAGGGCATTGTACTACATAAGTGCACTTACCTACATGCAGGCAATACACTCATACACATTAAAAAAAAAAAAAAAGGTGTGTACTACTATACCCAGCTTCTGTTTTGGACTTTGAGACAAGGTTATATAGCCCATGCTGGCCTCAAACTCACTATGTAGTCAAGTTTGGCCTTAAATTTCTCATCCCCAAGGGTCTAGAGAGATGGCTCAGTGGTTAAGAGCACTAGCTTCTCTTGCAGAGGACCCAGGTTCAATTCCCAGCACCCACATGGTGCTAACAACCATCCATATCTCCAGTTCCAGGGGATCCTATACCCTCTTCTGACCTCTGAGGGCATTGCAGGACACAATTCCACTTACATACGTGTAGGCATTACACTCATACATACACATTAAAAAAAAATTCTGATTGTCCTGCCTCTACTTCCTAAGTGCTGGTATTACAGTCCTGCACCACCATACCTGACTAAGGTTTTTGGTTATGGTGGTGGTGGGTTGTTTTTTGTTTTTGTCTGTTTTGTTTTGTTTTACCAGGGTCTCATTTTGGAGCTCAGGCTGGCTTCTAACGTGATCCTCCTGCCTCAGCTCTCAGCCTCCCAGGGGCTGGAATTCCAGGCATGTGCCACCATGCCCAGATATCTCCTATTTTGATGGCAACATGTAATGCTGCTTTCAGATTACCATTGCCTAGTGCCTATTTGCTAATTCAGTAAGAGGGTAAGCTTGTAGCTGTCATCCAGGGACTGTCCAGTCTGTGCTGTCAAGGCTGCTGTAATGTGGGAGGTGACTGGGTGGGTAGACACTTGAGGCTCTTATGACTACTCTCGGCATACCCTCTTGGGTGCATTTCTGAAGCCAGAGGTGAGGCTGAGGACAGATCTTTTCTTTTGGATTTCAGGTATCCTGTGGTCTGAAGCTGTCTTTCTTGAGGCAAGGCCCCAGAGAAAGACCAAGAGTGTGGATGCCCTGAAGAAGTGTGAACATGACCCCCATGTGCTCCTGGCTGTGGCTAAGTGTGTGGGAGTCCTTTTGGGGTTGTTTACCATCTGGGGACCTGGTAGAGCTTTATCAGCATCTCTGTCTCTCCCTGGCTTTGATAATTGTGCCTTCACAGGATGAGCTGCATGGTCCTCAACTGCCATAGTTCCTGCTTAAGTCTTCTGGGCAATATTCTCTGAACAGGGCCACGAGATCTATGCTGTCTACGTCTGTCTGGTTACTCCCTCTCCTCAGGCCTCCTGTGTACTTTGGCCCTTCCTCAGTCCCAGGCTTCTGGTGGGGCGTCTCTCTGTGTTTCAGTTTGTACCACATTGGGACCGGATTATGCGAAGGACTGATTTGCTCCACTTAGAATTTAAAAAGCAAGCAAAGGCTCTTTAGCTCAAGGGCTTGAGCCAAGAAGTTTGCTTTCATTATGTTAGCAGAACTCAGACATGTTCAGCTTTGTGGTCTTGGGAACAGCCCTGACTCGGATCCAAGATATGGATCAGTCTTGAAGTGCAAAAGTGACTGACTAGAGATCATCTTGGAACCCACAGTTTCAAGGGGAAGAAGAGGTTGACAACTGACCTCACACCTCCCAGTACATGATCATGCCCCCTAGTGGTTGGCAGTGGAGGCAGAACTTTCTTAGAACCAGTTTAGATTTGTTCCAGTAGCACTGTGTCTTTGGGGTCTAGTGTAGCTGCGCTCACATTTCTACCTGGGCACCTTTGTAGTATCCATGGCCCCAGCAAATAAGAGAGGCTTCTAGGCCCCAGCCTTGCCAGCCTGAGCTTCTTCCTCCTAGAGTAACTTCTGTATGATCTCAGACAGCACAGCCATAAACCTAACAAAAGACTATTAAAGTAAATAAGTCACTCCTTACTGTTCCCAAGCCAGTGTTCCATGTGCCTGCTATCTTGAGTTTGTGCTCTTTAAATCACAGTTTATCTAACACTGAGCAATTAAGAGCACTACACGGCTTAAAAAACAATCAAGTAGCCGGGTGTGGTGGCGCACGCCTTTAATCCCAGCACTTGGGAGGCAGAGGCAGGCGGATCTTTGTGAGTTCAAAGCCAGCCTGGTCTACATAGTGAGTTCCAGGACAGCTGGGGCTACAAGGAGACCCTGTCTCAAAAAGACAAAAAAAAAAAAAAAAAAAAAAAAAAAAAAAAAAACAATCAAGTTATCAGCATGAAATTACTACATTTGGTACCTGAGAGCCACCCAAACAGCCGCCTGTAATGGAGGGGTTTAGCTCTGCACCAGCTGCCTTGCTAGGGAAGGGTGAATACAGCCCCAACTCCTGAGTCTGCCAGAATGCCCACCAGTAGCTGGCTGGGTCATCTTACCAACTGTTTACCCTGCTATCCTGTACTAACTGTCAGGTGTGGAGTGTGCCCATGGAGATCCCAAGTTAGTTTCTGATAGTCCAGTCTTTTGACTTCCAGCATGGTTCCTCTTCAGCCTGGTTTTCAAGTGTCTGTGAGTGTTGGGCATAACAAGAATGTGTGCTGTGGTGTGAGTGCCATGGGGCTGCAACTCTAGTGGGCCCAGGTCCCCAGAGTTGACCTTCGGAAGCCCATCTTAGAGTTTACTTAAGTTGCTGCAAGGGGTAGGACAGGGCAGGATAGTCCACCAGGTGTTACTGAGGAGCAGACTGAAATACCAGTTTTTCCTAACCAGCCTGACTGTTTTGTCAAGGTTAGTTTTGTATTGTATTTGACCCAGGGGAAAAAAATAGTTTAAAGGAGTTAAGATCTTGCTGTGTATTAGTGTTCTAAAAAGCAGTGTGGTTAGACCCTGAGGTGCCAGTGGGTGATCTGAAGTGACATCCAGGCAGCCCCACATGGCTTAGACCTTCTGTGGCACATACCAGGGCTTGCTGGTTTCATTGGGTTCAGGTTATAGCTGATGACCCACACAGAAGGGCAAGGATAGTCCTGGGTGATTCTTACAACCCTGCAGACATTATCCTATGCCCCTTACTCTAAGTACTTTTCCCATAACAGGCTGTTCTGGAGTGAACGAAAGATCACCAAGGCCCGGGAGTGGTTCCATCGCACAGTGAAGATCGACTCAGACCTGGGGGATGCCTGGGCCTTCTTCTACAAGTTTGAACTACAGCATGGCACTGAGGTGAGGCTGCACTAGCAGACTGGTATGCTGTCCTGCCTGTTCCCCTATCAGATTACCATTGCCTATTGCCTATTTGCTAATTCAGTAAGAGGATAAGCTTGTAGCTGTCATCCAGAGACTGTCCAGTCTGTGCTGGCAAGGCTGCTATAGTCTAGGAAATGACTGGGTGGGTAGACACTTGAGGCTCTTGTGGCTACTCTCGGCATACCCTCTGGGGCAGCCTGAGGATAAGGGTGCATTTCTGAAGCCAGAGTCTCAGCCACTTCTAAGACTATAGGAAGCTCCACCCATTCCCTAGGAGACAGCCAAGACTGGCAGCTCCTTCCCAATTGAGCTTTGTTAAAACTATGATCACAACTTGGGGGTGGCCAGGATGTCCTGGGGTCCTCATTGGAAGTAGCAGTCAGACCTGATTGAATCTGGGAAATGCCTCATTGAGAGATCATGGACCTAGTAACTTTTGTGAGACAGAGGTAGGGGGTCTGACACAATTTAGCATATAGATTGTGCTGACTTAGAGGCCATGTTTTCCAAGAGGAAGGGATAGCTTGAAATCTGTTGGGGCCAGATCTACAAGGGAACAGGCAAGGCTCAGGGTGCACCCTGGAAGGAACCCTACCTGAAGTACTCTATGGTCTTCCCAGGAGCAACAGGAGGAGGTGAGGAAGCGGTGTGAGAATGCAGAGCCTCGGCATGGAGAGCTGTGGTGTGCTGTGTCCAAAGACATCACCAATTGGCAGAGGAAAATTGGGGAAATCCTGGTACTAGTGGCCGCCCGCATCAAGAATACCTTCTAATAGCTGGAGTAGGGACAAAGCACTGAGGGGCAGCACATGAACAGTGAGCACAAGGCCTATACTGCCTGTCATTCATTCATTAAAGATTTTTATGGAGTATGTTGGCTGGAGATCACTGGCTTTCTGTTTCGTCACTGCCTCCTGTACCAGTGTGACCTTCTGCAAGTACCTATGCTCCAGAGGAAGCACAGTTGCAGTACTGAAGGCTTGCTAAGATTTTTTTTGAAGATGTTGGGAGTGCAGGCTCTGGAATGAGTTAGGGCACTGAGTTTGTGACACAAGAGCTTGGAGGTCATACAGGAATCAACCTGCAAGAGATTGAAAATCTTGCAGACACCTCACTGTTGTAGCCACAGGGTAGGTAGGGGACTTAGTCTATGAATATCTGGGGCTTTCTGGAGTTGGAGTGAAAACGGGAGACACTGGCCCTGCTGGAGGCCACTCCATGCCATGTTCCAGGCCCCTGTAGCTACCATTTTTTTTGAAACAATATAATTTATTTGTTTGGGGATGTACACTTGTGCCATGGTATGCATGTGGAAGTCAGAGGACAAATTGTGGGAGTTGGTTTTCTCCTTCCACCATGTGGGTTCAAGGGATTGAAGTCAAATCATCAGGTTTGATAGATGGTACCTGTACCTAAATGAGTCATCTTGCTAATTTAAAGCAATTTCATCCTAAAGTGCTTGTGACAGCCATTATTGCTAGATAGAAAATTATCACACTTTGGCTGTTTTAGTTTTAAACCTATGAAAGGGTAAGGGGCTTTCTTGGGCCATGGATCCCTGCATGTGTGCCTTCGATTGAGAACCAGCCAGCTAGCTCTCTTGAGAAGGGGGCAGGCGTGCATGCTAGACACATCTGACTGAAGGTCATGGTATGGAAGATAGTGACAGTCTTAGATTGGCCTGGAATGAGATGCAGTTACATGGTATGACAATAGGCAGCCTTCAGGCCTGCTTTATTTAGAAGAGCTATTCCCAATAGAAGAGCTATTGTGGGAATGATTGTTGTGGGTGTTTGTGCCTGGCCTTCCTAGAACCCATTGCTCTCAAACTGGACTGAGCCTGAGTTACAGGGACTCCCTGATGCACTCTCAAGGGCCTCATGTGACTGTGGTAATGATCAGTCGCTGACTCACAGCTCTGCTCTCCTGCACACAGGGCCTGTGTTGGCCTACGATCCCTCTGTCCCACTTACAAAACAGAAAAGGAACATGTACTCGAGGCCCTGAAGGTAGAAAAGAGCTCAGCAGGCATCTCTGCTTGCCTTAGAAGTTGTCCCACCTGTGGTTCTGGGATCCTTGACAGCATGTGAAGGGATTAGTCATCTAGAGAACAGGCATGACCTGCTGGCTGGCTGATGCTTGAAAGGCCACTTGGGTGCTGGCTTGGGGAAGTCCCTTTTCCTCCTATCCTGAGGAGCGGCTGCTGGAACTGCTTGGGTGTTTCCTTGGAGGGAGCCTTGGTGGTCCTTTTGAAGAAGGGCTGTACCCAGCAGTTCCCTCACAGATGGAGAGAGATGACTGCAGTCTCAGGCCATTGGTGGCCCCTGTTCCTTTTTGACTGCCCCCTAACTTGAGCTGAGTGCAGTGGAGCAGTTAGAAAAGAGGATATTTGGGTGAGGTATCCTGCAGGGCTGTGGAAGGTTCCAGAGAGCCTGTAGTATCCACATATGCAGGTTGTGACAGAGTGGGATCTCTATAGGACTTGTGATTCAATCCAAGACCCAGGATAGCTCTGGATCTGCTGTAACAGGCAGAGGCTGTGCTTCCAGGGTCAGACTAATTGAAGTGATTGGGGAGAGTGGGGGGAGGGACCAGGGCAGGGCTGGTTGGCTGGCTTGCTGGCCTCTCTTTCCCTCCCTTCCTGTTCCTTCCCTTCTTTGCTGGAGGAGCCAACTTCAAAAGCCTCTCTGCCTGCCCCTCAGCCCTGTCCAAGGAAGCCCCATCAACCGGTGGAGGACCTGGTGTGGCTGCCAGTTGCTTTGCTTCACTGGCCACCAGAGGACCCCAGGACCATGTGTGTGGCCTGCTGGAGGGAGTGAGGGAGGGCCAGACCCTGAGAGGCCTATGGTGAGCAGTTGGGGCCTCTGGGTTGAGGGCTGGCCTGAGCCATGGGGTTGGGAGCCCAGGGGAAGCTGTTTACCTATGCCTTATGGAAACCCCCAGCTGTTTATGATAGCACCTAGCACAATGATTTTTGTGGGTGTTTGTGCCCTGGCCTTCTTAGAACCCATTGCTCTCAAACTGGACTGAGCCTGATTTACAGGGACTCCCTGAGCAACCAGCCTGTCCCATGTTGGGTGCTGGACATCCATCAGCTCTATTGGCTGGCTCGGTTGACTCTGGTGCTTAATGTAATCTGATGGGCAGTAGGAAGGGGGTGGTAGGCAGTTCTGAGGCCCCCTGCCCTCTTGGCCATTCTGCCCAGTGACTTTCAAGAGGGAGTTGCTGCATTTGCTCTTCAGTTTGTTGCTGCTGGTGTCCCAGACTAGAGCTCCAACCCCCAAGCTCTAGGTGGGGTTTGTGGTCTGCTCAGTATAGCTCCCCTGCCAGGGCTGGGAAGCCGAGTCCTGTCGTTTTGCTGGATTCACATGACTAATTTTCCAGCCCAAGGTTGCTGTCTGACTCCAGCTGAGGGCCTGGGGCAGGTTTTGGACGTTTGGGAACTGGTCCCTTTGGAGTAGTTTGGGTCCCGGGGACCTTCAACTGTTTCCCTGATGTATGGGCTCCCCATACCCCTGCACCAGTCCCTTCTATTCTGGATAGGAAGAAGTTTGTTGGCAGGCTCTGTTTGGGGTACAGTGTGGCCCCCTTCCTCCCCTGTTGTCACTGGGGCGTCCTCCCAATCTCCCCCTTCCAGTGGGAATGTGTCTTGGAGCTCTAAACCAGTGTCTGTGCTAGTTGGGGATAGAGGAGCCATTCCTGGGGTTAGTTGTAGTAGAGTCATTGATGGAGGGGTTGGAGTTACCACACAGCATGGGAGCAGAGTGGTTCTACCTCTAGCCCCCTATCATGTTTACATAGTGGGCATAGGTGTGTGTGGGCGTGTGTTTGTGAGAGGAGAGAGCCTAGTTTCGGGGAGAGGGGGCTTATAACTGTTAGGTATGGGTCTGAGTGTGGCCAGGGGCAAGGCTGTACTGAGGTTACTTCTCACTGTACCACCCAGAGCTGTCCAACGCCAGCTGTGCAAAGCCAGGTAGCTCTTGTACTCGATAGTCTACATGCTCCATCACTTTTCTGCCTCTCCAGTGTGGACCACAGGGCCAGGTCCCTTGCCTGTGGACCTGTTCTCTGTCTCCTTCCTGGTCCTTCCAGGCTCAGTGAAAGGGCTTTCCCATGCCCCACTACACACCCCACAAGTGTGCATACAACATGAAGCTGTCTGGTTCATAGGTCTTGTTTTTCCCTTCCCTAGGTCTGCAGGGGTTTATCCTATCCCATGCTCAGAGCCTCTGATGATATTTGTATCCTATCCTCTCAGAGATGGAGGTGGGGAGCCCCTTTGTGGAGGCCACTCCTTGTGCTGGGAGGCCTAGGCACCCAACCCCAACCTGGTGTCCTCTTCAGGTGTGCCCCAGGCCCACTCTCTGTGCACTACTACTGCTGGTGTGTCTGGGGTCTGCTCTGGGCTGGGCTGGGCCCCATTCCTGCAGCATCCATGAGCTACTCCGCCACTATCAAGCCATCATCTTCCAGGACTTGCAGGCTGCCATGCGGTGGGCAGGGACTGAAGCCCATCGTATAGAGCCAGGCCCAGTACACCACCACTTCATTCAGAAAAACCTGACTGGAGCTGGTGGAGGGCAGGGATGGCTTCAGGCCTCCTGTGATGCCCAGAAGGTATGGGAGTGGTATGCCCCCCCATCTGTTCCTCCTTCGGGGCTTCCCCAGCCCCCCTGCCCGGGCTTTCCTCCCCTTTCCAGAAGCGCAGTATCTTATTGTCCATTGAGTCCTTGGGCCAGACCCTTTGTGGGAACAAGGCTGGGGTCCCCCGCAATGCCCTGGAGAAAGCAGCATGGACTGTGGCAGTGCGCACTGAGGCGGTGATGCTCAGACACTGTCGGACATCCCGAAAGGTGTGTGTTCTCAATCACCCCTCCCCTAAGGGCCTTAGTACCAGTGGCGGCTTCCACCTCAAGTAGGGCTCACTGGTTGGGATGCAACCCACTTCCCTTAGTGCTGGGTATGAAATTTGGGGCATGGGCTTGGAATTTGGATACATTTACTCTTGGCTCAACCCTACCAGCAGATTTCACGGCCCAGGACTAACCCTGTACAGCATCGCATTGGCAGGAAGCGTCTCCTGCTACGTGCCCTGTATTCTGTCGCCACCTGCTGGGAGAAGCTTTTCGCTCTGCATGCCATGGCCACCAGAGGATTCTAGCACCGTCCTCCCCGATCCCACCTCAGGAGACTGGGAACAAACTGTGTTTGGTTCATGTTCTGATGGCGGCCCCTCCCTTGTCTCTGCTCACACTCAAGGGCCCAGGATTTGGAGGAGATAGCACCCTTCTCCGTGGCTGTCTCCTAGAGTGTCCATTGAGACCTCAGTAAACACAGCGAGGGATGTGGCCTGATTGTTCTTCCCTTGCCTGCCTGGTTGTGAGCCCTGGGCCATGCAGGGGTCTGCTCCTCAATGGGGAGGGGTCAGGGACCTGCACTTCACACCTGGGCTGTGGCTGTGATCATAGTTCCTAACCTCACACGGTAGGGGGCATGGGTTGGCCACTGGACTGGTCTTCAAACCTTGTCCAAGGCAGGGGAGGTCATTTGCCAGCCCTCCCTCCCCACCACGTCCTGGTTGGGGGCTTTAAAACTAAAACATCATGCATCCGTCCTGCTCCACTCTGGACTGGGGAGAGGGTGGAAATGGAGAGGAGGGGGAAGGCTGAGCTTGGTGAATTGAGAGCAAAACAACCGGATAAAGGAAACAGGGCTTAGAGGAAGCCAGCCTTGCTGCCCTGGCTACAAATGAGACCAGGCCATTTCCTGCTGCCCCAGGGGGATGAACAAGGCAGTGGGGGATGACTCCAGAGACTGCTGCAAACTGGACTTTGGACTAGCTAGGCTGTCCCCTAGTACCTACAAAAGCTGAATGTTTCCCCCATGATTCTAGTATGGGGCAGAAAGAGGCATTGTCCCCCAAGAGCATCAAGGAATACCTTGCCCTGTGCCTGTCAGACAGGCAAGCAAGAGACGAAAAAGGCAGTGGTAGAGTGATCCACAGGGGCAAGACCTAACCCTGAAGCTCATCCTACCCCCATCCCTGCTGCATTGTCTGCCCAATGGGACTTTTTTGTGTCTTTTCACAGATGAGGAAGCTGAGACATGGGAAGACTACAGGGCCTTCATTGGTCACATAGGAATTAGAAAAGCTGGGATCAGATTTGGGTCCAAAGTATGGTGTGTGGAAGGGAAATAGAACTTTCTGGATATCAGTATGCATTCAAATCATCTATGGATTTAGATTTCTAATGATCTCACAAGCCACCTTAGAGAACAATATAGAACATTCTGGCTATACTCATTGGGTGGGGGCTAGTGTGGATGAATATAGGAATGAGAAAGACAGGTGGGGTGTGCCACATGGAGCCCAAGTACATGGACCTACTGAAGGCCTTCAACAAAGCCAGGCCAAAGATGATTCTCCACTGTGTATGCATGGAGGGTGGGGGGTTGGGGGGGATGCTGGGTCATTGTAGGATCCTGACCAGCCTAGATGGCTGGTCATCTTGAACTGGGAAATACCAGTAGAAGATAGGACAGACAGATAGGGATCTAGATTGAGATGTTCACATTAGTGAATTCTGCTGGGCATGCTGAGATATAGTCAATGTCCCAGTGTAGAGAAAAAAAGTTCCAGTTTTGTTGAAACATGAGGCATAGAACAGAACATGACCTTAGAGTGTGATTAAGTAGAATCTGGGGAACGTTAGTAAGGGTCTGAGATCTGAGCTGAAGGCAGAGACTTTTTGCAGAGCAACTTGTGCTTACTCTTGTCCCAGCTCTAGAGCCTACTGGGCAATCAGTCCTAGTGAACATTCCACAACCGCTGCCCACCTTGCTGCCTTGTCCTACTGTTCAGATCTATCAGAAACTGGGTAGGTAGGCAACAATATACCTGACACACACACTCCCCCAAACAAACCATAGGCTCTTAGGGGTTGGAGGTAGACTCCAATCCAAAGAGTTTGGGGGAGAAATATTGATGCCTGAGTCCTGAACCAGAGTACACAGTAGGTGAGAGACCTCCTGAATCCTACCCCCATGGTTTTCTGCAGCATCAGCCTGTGGCCCACTAACCCCCTGTCCTCTGGCAGGCCAGGTAGATGCAAAGCCCTCAAAGAAGCTCAGAACTGGAGAAGCAATCTAAGTGCTACTGAGACCCTAGATGCTGGGCCCTTAGGTTTATCCCAGGAATCTGATGGAGGATCCCTAAAGCCCCTTTGTAGCTGAGGACAGAGCACGTCCTCACGCACATCTGACACACCCAGCACAGGAGCTGTCCCACAGTTTGCTGGCTTCAACTGATTGGAACTGACCTTGGCCGATGCTAAAGCTCAGCCATGAGACTGGAGAATGCTGGTATTGTCCCCTGCCAAACACGCCTTTTCAGGGCTTGCCTTTCCAGGGAGGTGGAAGCTATGGCCCAGAAGGAAGGGCTATATGAGGATGGCAGATGGGGCCCTCAGGGCACTGACCAGGCCTGTGCAATTTCCTGCAGCCCCAGAGCCAGGCCCCCATGTGTAGTGCTGGGAGAAGGGGCCTGGCAGTCTTTGAAGGGAAACTGGGTACCAAGGCCTCCCACAGCTAGGAGCCTTTGAAAGAACATCTGGAACTCGGGCAACAGCAACAGCAGACAAGCTAGTCCCTGGGTTTGCAAATCCCAAAGTTAATCCTGACTTTACTACTTGTGTGCTAATAGCCCTCCCCCAAATCCCACCATGGTAGTAGGGGTGAGGGTGGAAGCCTCTTCTGTGTTGGAACAATACTGCTCTACCCTGCCACCCACCACTCTAGCATAGGAGTGCTGCACAACTAAGTACGGGGAGCAGTATGAAGAGTAGACATGTCTTCTGTGTTCCCTATGAGCTAAGCAGGCAGAGCACTGAATTCAACTGCACTCGAAGAGCCGAGTGCCTGGAAGGCTTGGGCAGCACTATGGACAGGGCTGTGGAGGAGGAGGAAACACCTGCTCCCAGACCTGGAGAATGCCTGGCCTTGTGGGCATTTTTCAGCCCTTTCGTGTGAGCATGCATATGGGGTCCCAAGATCTGCAGGTGTGCAAGAAGGCCGCCTGCTTCAGCAGTAGCTAACTGGAAATAAACAAGGCCCTCTACTCCAGGAAGCACATATCACTGTGGGGGGAGGAGGGAGGCAGGTGCTGAGGCCCATTGTCCCTGCCAGTGGCCCTCAGGACCCTGGGGGAGGTCAAGGGACAGTCCCCATCCTGCCCCCTCCCCAGGAAAAGACAGCTTTGTAAATAGAGAAACAAACACCCCCTACTCCAGTAGAATCCGGAATAACCAGCAGGGAGGTAGCACCTGCTGTGGGAAGTGAGTCCTTGTTTGAGTGGAAATGGGGAGGTCAGGCCCTTGGCAGTGATGCTGTGCCTGTTGTGATGGTGGGACATGGGTCCTGGCTATGGGTCATCTCCTTGCTGTGTAGACAGGATTTTTGCTCCTGTCTACAGGAGACATCAGCCTGATGTACACTGGGAAGTTCAGTGGCACACTTGTTAGGCCTTATTGCACGTCAGCCCAGTTGTGACAATTTGTGGCTCAGAGGAGAGGCAATCAGGGCTCCTCGCCAGGTGAGCAGACTCTGTCCTTGGGCTGCCCCTGGCGTCCCCTGCCCGGCGCAAGGCCAGGGGTCAGGGCTGCAGAGTGAGATAAGCCCAGCTTCCTGCACTTGCTCCCAGAGCAGTGACTCCCGACACTTCCTGTTTTCTGGGCGGACAGGGCTGTGGGAGACAGGCCAATGTGGTGGGGGCTGGGGTCATGGGACACAGGGCGGGTTGTACCGGGGTTGGGGGAGATGAGATGAGATCATAGAGGGCAGGTCGTGGATACAGGGTGGGACAGTGGGTGGGAGCAGGTTTCCTGGAGATGGGGTGAAGTTGTGGGGGCCAGGGTTGTGAGTGGCATGTACCCAGAAGCAGGGTAAAGCAGTGGGACCCCAGGTGATGGAACACAGAGTGGAGTTGGTAGCCAGATCATAGGGGGTGGAGACTTCAGAGAAGGGGTGAAGTCATGGGCTGGGGCTATGGGATATAGGTGAGATTATAGTGAAAAGTTTCCCTAGGAACAGGAGCCAAGGGGCCTGAAGAGTACTGAGGTACTCCTGGTGTGCATCTAGGCCCTGCCCTCCCCTGTTCCTGGACCCAGGGCCCCCCATATGCACACCCTTCCTTGGTGGATTCTCCTCCTAGCAGAAGTCTTATAGACTGAGTAGAGGTTGACCAAGCCCTATAGAATCTGTTTGGGTGGCTTACTTTGGGTTGGAGGTCAGCAATTCTGGACCCCCATTTTGGGAGCAGCTGCTGATGCATGTGGACGCATGGTTCTTTTTTTTTTTTTTTGTTTTTCT